TAAATAATAATAGTAAATAATAATAACAATAATAATAATAGTAAATAATAATAATAATAATAATAATAGTAAATAATAATAATAATAATAATAATAGTAAATAATAATAATAATAATAATAATAATAATAGTAAATAATAATAGTAATAATAATAATAGTAAATAATAATAATAATAATAATAATAGTAAATAATAATAATAATAATAATAATAGTAAATAATAATAATAATAGTAAATAATAATAATAATAATAATAATGATGATAGTAATAATAGTAATATAATTAATAATAATAATGATAGTAATGATAATAATAACAATAATAATGATAATAATAGCAATAATAATAGTAATAGATAACAATAATAAATGATAAATAGTAATAATAACCTATAATAACCTTTGAACAATTATATTTTGAGAATCATAAATTAAAAAGGAGAAATAATATTCAACGTTTAAAGGGTAAACAGCAATAGCAATAATAGTAATCATTGTTTTTATCATCACTACTATTTATACCATTTACCATTATAAACTATTATTCGTTATTATTGCCACTGTCTATTAATTATATATTTATCATTATAATCTTATCGTTGTTGGTTATCACTACTATTATTATTGGTGTAAATTATTTTATTATTACTCGTTATCACTGTTAATCATTGCTATTTCAACGGTCATAAATCCTCTCTCATGATGAGTTAGTACAGTTTTGTGCTCATGAGGAAGAAGTATAATGTTTTGTAGAATTAAAGATATATGTACATCTGCGGAGAGAAGGGGTCGTAACTTGTTAAGTTTTGATGATAATATTTGGAGGATGACAATGCACGCGAGTTACGATGCTGCAAACATGTACTAGTAAGCACTATTCTGTGGGATATAATATCACATGACCGTCTAGTAATACTGTAGTGGTGCTTCTGCAATTCGAGATTTGTGAATAGTAGATGTCGATATCTAGGTAGTATGTTAGATATCGTATAACACTGTTGCACCTTGCTTATGAATCAGTCAAATTTAGGTAGCAAAGCGGAGGACGCCAGTTTCAGTAAATGTTTGCATTTGATAGGCTGTGGTGTTAACTAATTGAGGTTGTTCATCAAATGATTCGATATATAAATCTAAGACTGAATATTATCGATCATTTCCAGGAATTGGATGAACTTGTAAAAAGCGCGGAGGAGCGGAGGCGGCAATTAGAAAAACGTCATTTGGCTTTGCAACTCATGCTGGAAGGATTGCACCCTGAAAAGATGCTAACACAGGAATCTCGTTCTGGAAGTGCAAGTACCATTTCAGCAGTTGACGATAACGATTATAGTACATTGTCATCATCTGCCTCTTCTTCTTCTTCACTGACATTGTCAGACAACACATCGTGCTTAGATTTTTGTTCCAAATTGTCAGTTTCATCTAGTAACTCTTCATTGGTTAGTTCTCCTATTCATCCATATCCTCCATTTGATCCATATCTGAATGGACTGCTTCCAGCATTACCATTGTGTTATCCCCGCATTTCTATGTATCCTTACCTCGATGTGCAACCCCTGTGATTATACGACATCTTCACCTTCCCTATTCCTACTGCTGCTTTTGCTGATCTTAGATGGACTATATCTGAATTTTGAAGTAGGGAAGAATTTGGTGATATTTAATGAAAATTCGAATTCAATAAATTCGTTATAGTGAACCACAACTGAGACAGTTCAAAATTATTGCAAAATTTTTTACCAGTTGTAAGAATAGTAATTGCTAATTTTAAGCAGCAACGATAAATGATAATAGCTGTATTTGTAGTATATTTTTTTATATGCACTGATATTATTTAATATTGTTTTTAACGTTTTTGTTGTTTGTGAAATATAACTGAAATATCAGTCTCAGTTTTTGTGCGTAATAAGCCCTCATAATATTTTGGTTTCGTGCAGTTCATCCAGTAGAGAGAATGGTGCCAAAAGTTGTCTGAATGTAAAGGTAGCAAGCACGCCTTACTGTAGGCAAACTACGCTATTTCCCAACATTAAACTACTGAGTAGTTTGAGGTGAAAACTGCAAACTTAGTTGAATGGTTGAGAATTAATGCATCTTGCATCATACAAGAAACAGTGAAGAAGTTAGCGGTTTCTCAACATTTGCCGGAAGAAATGTGACGAGAGAACTAAGAAGGTATTGGATTTGTTTTTTGATGTTAGTATTTATTTCGTCCTTTTTCATTTTTCTTCCCATCTAAAATTGTTGTAACTACTATCCGTAGCAACACTCGTCACACTAATAATTATTTTCAAATGAATCAGTTCATTCGATCATGTCGCTTCCCTTACTGAAATGTCGCTATTCAAAATAATGGCCTGTTGGCTAGTTCTGATTAACTTAGCTCTTCTCCTATATTTGTTTAATGTTTTGGGATGTTCGATTATCATTTCAAGTTGCGCAGCTGTTTATTCGGTAGATAAAAGGTTTCCGTTCGAGTTCCATTCCCGGAAAATGAAACCAATATATTGTAAGAACAGATGAATATTGAAATTTAATAACGGAGTATCGCGGGTTATCTTATAATTTGACGACATTGAGATATCAAAGTTTAAGTAGGTTTATGGATCTTTTGTTGCCTCCTCTATGTCGTTATTCTGTCTCGTTGTTCTTTTCCTCAGCCGCCGAACGATAGTGACGACGACGGTATCCTAATTTGTGACCAGTATAGATCAAATTACTGTTAGAACAATGAATAATAGATGAAGTGACCACGTTTTACAACTCTTGTCTGCTCCTTCCTTTATATTGTTCCAGCGGCTCAAGAAGTTAGCAATCAGAAACTTGGTGCATTATGTCACAGAGAATACTGGTGACAAAATGTAGGTAGATTTAAACAGACTGACTGATTGATTGATTGGTAGCTTCATATCATCATTCTTTTTATCAACTATTCCCCCCAAATGCCAAATTTTCTTGGTAGATTTGAATCTATATCTGTATGTACTCCATCTTCCTAATTATTTGTTTATTTAGCTAATTTAAATCTTTCAGTGTTGTCGGGTTGGTAATAATGCAAATGCTTCTTCCGTTTTTCCCATAGACTTTTGTAATCACTACAAATAACCCTTGACCTGACACGAAAAACTATCCTTATTATTCTTGTTCATTATGAAAATGTTGTTGTAGAATCTAAAAAAAATGTAACTATCAACTGAACCAAAGTTATTGCAAGCGATAACTGGCAAATATTCAATCAAAAAAGCTGTCGAAATTATACCGCTGAAAAGTGTTCAAAGATTGATTTATACGTAGCTGTAACGTTCTCGAAGAATGACGGATGAAAAGCATGACAGTTTTCATCTTCCTAAACCCATACGTGTTCTAAATCCATTTTACAACATAATATATACTTCCATCAATTAACCTTTATTTCATTTCTCATGCAGGAATGCTTAGATTACTTCATCACCAAAACTGGAATGCTTAGTGTTAGACTTGCTTGGCCACAGCAGTCTGAAAGGAGATTTCGGAGATAGCCTTCCTTCAAAAGTTTTAAAATAACTACTCGAACATTACTTTTACATACTAACTGTTGTGAACGAGAAAAGCTGCTACTATTCCAATTCTACTATTGCTTTAAAATTTAATGAAAGGGGAATTAGGAGGGCATTTTTTATGATAACCTTTGACTTCATATCCTGCGATAAAGCAGGCATCACTGGACCAACATCTTCACTGCGTACTTTTGATTTCACCCATCCTTTCATCGAGGGAAAAAAGGCCAAGAGAAATATAGGAATTTGATGCCTAAAAAACTGTACGGCTTTTGAAAAAGTACAAGACTACACAGATCAATTTACAAGAACGACTTCCTTGTGCATTATGCTAAATCCAGCTTAAATAATCCAAAATGTAAGTTATCAGAACTGTTCAGAAAACCGATCATCGCGGATAGAAAACGTTGTTTTGAACGCGGTCAAGCATCGATCATGAACAATGCTCAACTGCTCTGTTTCAAACAACCAATACTATAAAAGCGGACAATGGAAGGATTATTTCACGTAATTTCCAAACAAAACTACGATGAAAAGAATTCTTGAGATGGATACGGCTTACATTGTACAAATCTTCGAACACACAATGGCAAATAGGTTTGTGGATTC